TGAGTCGATTCCAACTCAATGGCACCTGACAACAACAACAACAACAAGGTTGCTATGGGTCGGAATCCACTCAAGGGCACTTAACAACAACAACAAAGTCTCCCTGAGACAGAGTCTAGGGGGCCACTTAATGGATAAAAGCATTAATCCCAAGACCTTGTCCATTTTACATTGTTTACTGTAAACAGACCACCATAAAATTTTGTGTTTTACTTTCTTGTACAGTCTAACTGGTTTTACCCACCTTGAAGGGTGAAGTTTTCTTGAAGGCAGAGGAGGGGCTGGAACTGGACTCGCATGCGCAACATCCCATAATAATTTTTGTTTGCCCTCACTAGAGGCCTTTGCTTTGGAATCCCTAGCATACCCAATCGGCTGCCCACACATACCCTATCGGCACAGTCACTCCTAAATGGGCCATTTCCTAGAAAACCCCACCTATATGTATGAATAAACATGATGCCTTTTCCCTACCCAAAACTTTTTAGGCCCCAGCAAAGCCTTTGTTCAGAGAAACGCATTGCACTAATTCCTCCACTTTTCCACTTGCAAGCCTCTTTCCTATAATAAACCTTTGCAAGTTTGGAAACTCTGCCTTGCCTATTAATCAGTAGAAGGCAAGAACCTTCGCTTGTAGGGTGGAGATGTTCTTAGTGTTATAGTATAATACCCTGCATTTGAAATATTATAACTAACAGCCTCCATTTGCCATTTGAAATATTATAGCATAGTTCACCCTGCTCCTCCCTTGCCCTCCCCCCACCTCACCCTATGGAAAAATAATAAACTTCTTATAGAAAAACCTTGAAGGCCAGAATGACCCAAGGACACCTTAACAAACAGGATAAAACTTAGCCCATCCGTACAACCAAGGGTTTATTGGTGGGTAAGGGTCTGCTGGAATTTATCACCCCAGCTGACAAGACAAGTCTGTGTGTTCTAACCACTCCGTGTTTCTTGTATAAAACCCTGTTCCCCTTCTCACTTCCGGGTCAGAGTGATTTGGGCTTGAGCTGACGCTCTGGCCGCGGGCAATAAACTTTGCTCTTTAAGCTTTCCCAGTTGAGTTCTTTCTGACTCGCGCTGCCGCAACATTAGCACTCCTCGTAATGTTGCTGTTAAGTGCTGTCGAATCAGTTCTGACCCATAGTGACCCTGTATAGGGTTTCCGAAGAGTGGTAGGTTTAAACCACAGACCTTGAGGTTCAAACTGACCTTAAGGTCCAGCGTTATTATCCTGCAGTGCCACACCAGGACTGGGTAAGTCTAATACTGTCTAGTCTCTAATTTCTACTTTTAATTGTACTTTGTTTTTACTTGTGTTTGATTTTGTTCCATTTCCGGTTTCTTGACATACTATTCATTCAGCACATTTACCAAGTGTACCCTGTATGACAGACAGGACCATTATTGGTTGCTAGAGATAAAGTGAAGTTGGTGAAGACTGGCTTCAATTACAAAGTTTCCTAATGCATAATTAAGGAGCTCTGGTAGCATAATGGTTACGAATCGGGCTGCCAATTTCACGGTCAGCAGTTCAAAACTACCAGCCATTCTGCGGGAGAAAGATGAGGCTTTCTGCTCCGGTAAAGATTTACAGCTTTGGAAACCCTGTACAGGGTCACTATAAGTCAGAACCGACTCTACAGCACATAACAAAAACAATGCATAATTGAGTACTGGTTTGGTACTGTAGGATATGAACTGTACTGCTAATTGGTTTGGTGGTTCAAACCCACCAGCCGCTTCTTGAAAACCCTCCACAGGATCACTATGAGTTAAAACAATGCATAGAGTAGCAATGTCTTACTGTATAGAACTTTGGTGACATCCTACAAATTGAGACAGGTAGCAACTTCATTATCATTTATTTCTTCTTGTTAAGTGCCATGGAGTTGGTTCCAATTCACAGCGACCCTATATAGGGTTTCTGAGGAGCAGCTGGTAAGTTTGAACTGCCGACTTTGTGGCTGGCAGTTCAGTGCTGATCCTACAGAGTCACATCAGGAGTCATTTCTTAGAACCCTATCATTTACAATTTTTATTACTGAACCCTTTAGACACATACAAAAGTAAAATACTATAGCAAAGAAAACTCTGTGAACAAGACACCCCACTTAATAATTATTAAGTTTGCCAATCTAGTTTCTAGCTCTTAATTTTTTTTCTTTTCCTGGAATATTTTTAAACAAAGCCAGACATCATTTCATAGATTTTAAATATGTATCTCTAACAAAGAGGATGCTTCATTTTTAATAACCTGTTATTTTTTCTAAATAATGTCTAATAATTGGTTCATGTCCACATTTCTCCTACTATCTCCAAGTGTTTTTTGTTGTTGTGTTTCAAATCAGGTTCATAAAATGTCCACATACTGAATTTAATTGATGTCTCTCAAATTTTGTCATGTTAATAGTCGCTCCTCCTCCTTTTCCATCCAGTCCGTAGAAGAAACCAGGTCATTTGCTGGGTAGAATTTTACACTATGGATCTGGGTGATTGCAACATTTTGCTTTTAACTTATTCACCTCTTCCTGCAAATTATTTTTCTCCCTCCATGCACCATCGGTTAACAGTATTTGCCTCTATTCCCCTCTTTTTTTTTCATTTAAAATCATTTAATCAAAGGGCACATTTTGCTATTCCTGTAAATTCTTGATTTTAAAGAATTTGATTAAAAGGCTTGATTATTTCAGTTAATTGTTTTGACATCAGGCTTCCTAGGTAGCGCTGTATACTACCTACTTACTGTATTATATCAGGCGGTTCATAGCACCTCACACTCCCACTTTTAACAGGTAAAGTTTGGTCAGAGGTTTCAGAGCTGGTCAAATTGATAAACGGATGAGAAAGTTCTCATCAGTCTTTCACCTAATAGTTTGAGTATCCATTGAGGATCATTTTCCGAATCATTTATTCCAGTTATATTGTTAAGTGCTGTCAAGATGGTTACTGCCCATAACAACCTTGTATAGGGTTCCCAAGGAGTGGCTGGTGAGTTTCAGCTGCTGACCTTGTGGTTCAAACTGACCTTGAGGTCAGGTGCTTAACCTAGCGTGGGGCGATGGTGGTAATGGTGTGCTGTGGAATTGGTTCTGACTCATAGTGACCCTGTATAGGGTTTCCGAGGCTGTAAGTCTTTACAGGATCATAAAGCCTCATCTTTCTCTTGCGGAATAGCTGACAGTTTCAAATTGTTGACCTTGAGGTTAACAGCCAGACTCATAACCACAATGCGACCAGAGCTTCTTTGTAGCACAGTAAGGTTTAGAAAATGGTGGGTTTTCTAATCCTATCATTCTGTAGGGGTTCTGATGTGGTGCTATAGTATCAGCACTGAACTGATAACCACAAGGTCAGCAGTTCAATCTCACCAGCCGCTCCTCAGAAACCATGTACAGGGCAGGGCCACTGTGAGTCAGGAACTGACTTGATGGCACTTAAAAACAGCATTCTGTATGTAAATAAATTTTAAGAAAACTAAACATTTTAATTTGATAAATTCAGTGGTCCTGAAACTTGTTCATATGGAAAAGGCAGGTACATGGTCAATTATCCCCCTTTATTTTTCGCTTCCCATAATGATGAATTGTCATAGCACCTTCTACAGCTGATCAAATTGTGCAGCCATACTCATTCAAAAGATTCAACTTGCCAATTCTCCCACTGGTCGAAGACAGAACAATATCGAAGAGTATATTGACTTCAACGGACTGGCACTTATAGGAGTTTCTCTCTCTCTCTCTTTCTCACACACACACACATATTAAATTTCCAAGTTGTTTCTTTTTTGCCTGAGTCTCAGTGGTGCTATGGGTTAGGCATTGAGATGCTAACTGAAAGAAAGGTTGGCAGTTCAAACCCACCAGTCACTCCATAGAAGAAAGATAAGACTGGCTGTTCTGTAAAGATTTACAGTCTTAGAAAACCCTATATAGTGTCACTGATTCAGAATCAATTCAATGGCAGTGGGTTTGGCTTTCTTGACCTTTTTTTCTTTTTCATTCTAATTAATCTTGAATTGTGGTCATGTAGTAAAATTTATAGACCATTTGTTTTGGGAATTTTTAAGGGCAATAATTTCATATTTTTGAGTTTTCAACAGTTGTTGTCTTAAATTTGAATTCTCTTCATAAATACTTTGCTGCAGCTCAAGGGATTAAGAATTTATCACATTCACTATAATCTAGTTTTTATCCAGAATAAATTATCTTAAATTTAATAAGTGCTGAGAGATGTAGAAGGCATGTCTACATTTATTATTTCCATAGGATCTTTCTTTCATGAATTAACTACTACTGATGATAGTAATTATGGATCACATTTACGGATCTACTATGCAGCCACTAGTCTTCCCAACGTTAACTACTTAATCTGTAGGAAGTGTGGCAGGCAAATGCTAATGGCTCCCAACTCCTGGTACTCCCATTCTTGTGTAGTCTCCTTCCCTTGAGAAGGGGCTGGCCCAGGGACTTGCTCTAATCAACAGAAGTAGATCCTCAGTCTAACCTTCAGATGAGACCTGAACCCTGACTGAGGCTTTGATTATAGCTTTGTTAGAGACCCTGAAGCACATAGCCCACCTGGGCTTACGGTTGGATAGAAATTGTGAGATAATAAATGTGTGTTGTTTTAAGCTACTAAAATTGTGATAATTTATTACACAGCAATAAATAACGAATATACATAGGTACTATCATCACCATTTTACAAACTGAGTAAAATGAGGCACCGAAGTTTATCTTGTCCAAAGTCATATTAGTAATAAAGTAGTGAAATGGCTATAATGAGAGATAAGGCTGGAGGTTTTATACATCCATTACATCTTTCTTTCATGAGCTTGCTAAGGATGAACAATGTTTAAGCTTTTAAATCAACATATTTTAAATCTAATTACAAAAAATCCCATAAGTTGAGTTAACTGAGACTGAAACAAATTTTATCAAGAATAAATTTTGTGATGTCTGGTAACATAATGTTCATTTAAGGGGTTTCTTGTATTAAATTACATTATGAATTTTCTGATGTTGTGTAAGGTGTGAATGTTGTCTGAAGGCCTTCTTACATTCCTTACATTTGTAGGGTTTCTCACCAGTATGAATTCTCTGGTGTTGAGTAAGAAATGAATACAGTCTGAAAGCCTTCCCACATTCTTTACATTCATAAGGTTTCTCACCAGTGTGAATGCTCTGATGCTGGGTAAGTTGTGAGAGCAGTCTAAAGGGTTTTCTACATTCTTTAC